ATGGTTACCCCAGATAGATTGAGTAATAGTTTACTATATCGAGCTTTCTTGCGCCAAACCTTTTCCAACAAATTAGGAATTGTTGTAACACAAAATGTAGTTCTAAGTAATAATCTCATGGATCCAACTTATTGATCAAATCAATTCTTGGTATCCACTAGAACCAGTGAGACATGATTTTAGTTAATTGTCCAATCAGTAAGTGTAAAGCAATTGATTTGCAGTATTCTATTGGAATCAATGAGATTCGATCTTGTATTTTGTCGCTTTTTTTCTTGCTTATCACTGCATTAGTTACGTGATAGATCTCAACTACATCCTAAAGGTTCATGATATCACAATGGAAGAAATATTAAGAACGATGAAAATTTATGAATTATTTAATGATTAATATATTTTAATCGGAATAATTCTCCAAATCACTTTAGTTAGTACTGTCTAACCTTGTTAACGTATTTAACTCGGCAATTCTTTTAAAGAATTGTCTCAAAATGATTGTTTTGAGTTGAACTAAGGGCCGGTTGGCAGAATTTTTGAAGGGTGTTCAATACATTGCACAAAAATTCAACATTTTTGAACTTTATATAGAAATTATCAGTAAAGAGAAGTTAATAGACGAAATCGATTATAGAACTCAGCCAAAAGCTGTTTCTAAAACTAATATACTACTTTTGAACATATTTAAATAATTTTTCAAAATGTTTTATCTGATTAGAACAACCTTTAGAAAAAATTGACATAAAATGATTTTCTTATACAACTTTTTTATGAGAAGGTAAAGTAAAAACAGTGTGAAACGTACCTAACTTATCCATACATGTTTCCCGGGCAACAATTTAACCCATGTTTGGGGTCCACTAAGAGCATCTTTGATTTTTGTAAAATGACTTTTGCATGCTCCATAGATAAGGGTGCGTTTGATTGTAAGAATGAAATTTGGGTGGAAATAAAATGAATTTAAGGGAATTGAATTGCCTAGAATTCATTTTACTGGCAATTGTCAATTAACTGTGTTTGATTGGTATAATTTTCCACCTGAAAAGTATTACAATTTTGGATCTTTTGGTATTCGTTTGACTTTATTTTTCATTGAAATTGTCCATTAAAGGAATAGAATTTATTTGAATTGCAATACAAAAACGGATGCTTGTTTCCTACTCTCCTCCTTGGATCCGTCTTCTCCGCCTCTTCTACTCTCCTCATTGGCTCCTCCATCTTCTCCTGGCAACAGAACCAGTGCCACCAGTAGGGGCAACAACTGTTACTGCAGCACCACTACCACCACCACCAGCTCCAACGTTCGTGACAAGGTACTCAATGTCCGGTTGTTGGTGGAGCGTAGCAAAAAGGATTGGCCAGTACGATTCGAGCTAAATTGATGAAGACCCATATATGTATGTTGTTCGTCATAATGAGGAGGAGGTAATGGTGGTGGTGCACAACCGTGAATCTCAACGTCGGCGCCGAAATTTGGGATGAACTGTGCGTGGTTCGCTACATTCGAACTGGTATGAAATTGAACCTGATTTAAATCGTTTATTAATGATATGGGACCATGAAACTGCTCATCGTGATGAGTATTAGGGCCTGTAATGGAGTATGGCCGTCGGTGTTGGAGGATTGGCCGAAATTGGTGTTGAAACCGTGTGTGAATGCTTGATTTTGAGCCCGAATTTCATCTGATTTTGGAGGTGATATGTCTGATTTTTGGTATGGAATTAAAGAGTGGGATGAGGACATGTTGACGATGTGGAAATCCGATGGTTTGTCCGGCGGCATACTGGATGAGTTTGGAGTAGAAGGTGCCAGTGTAGTAGATGAATTTGGTTGCAATTCCCACTTGCTAAGAAAACAAAAACCTTGCTGAATCATGGGAAAACCAATTCTAGTATTTTGAGGAAAAAAGGGTCACGTGCTGGTAAAATGGAAAATATTTTGCCTGTAAAATATAACCTATCAAACAACCAAAAACTTGGAAAATGGTGGGAAGTTTTCCATCTTGCCTGGAATTTAAGGTCTATCAAACATGGCCTAAATTCAAATTGTTTCATTGAAAATATATAAATTCACTTTTTACCTCTTGTAAATGTAAATTTATATATATTTTTTGTTGAAAAATACAATTTGCATTTTCTTTACATCTCTTTATTGAAGAAGTTTTTGGTCAGTTTGAAGATCTAAATCACAATTTAAATCTATTTTACACCATAATTGGAGATGCTATAAAAAAGGTGGATTAAAATTTAAATCAAAGTTCATAGTTAATTTTAACTAGATATTTATGTGATTCATAACTTTTTAACTACATATTTTATTAATTTTTTTTTTAATCAAAACCAAGTAGAAACTCACGAGATTTGAGAATTATTTAGCTTTTAATGATTCGGCTTTCATTAATATTTATTTGTTTGTTTGTTTGTTTCAAATCAGGATGATTCCCTCATTAAAGTCCAAAACGCTCTCACGAGTCTTCAGAAACCCAACTATTTCCAATTATTCTTTATCAAATTAACCTCGGAAACAATGAGTTTTACCTTTTCATAACTTGGTGAACTAATTTGGAATGCCGCTTTAATTTGATGAAATTGTGGCATAAAAGCCACTGCAAAAATTAACGGTAACATTTCATAGTCCTACTAGGCATAACGTGGTTGCACATTTAGCCTCCCGTTTAATATCAATTAAAATTTAGATTTTAATCTAAATTAAAGTCAATCTAATTTAAATTACATATTTTATAGGTCTCACAACTTTTCAATCACATATTTCAGGAAATTCAGTATTATTTATCTTTATAAATCATTTATAAATTTGACAAATAAAGGAAATGATAAACATACTTTACAAAGTTGATTTCAATCCACTATGCAAAACCCCACCCCCAAAACTCCATAATTTTCTGAGAAAATTAAAGAAAAATAAAATAATGGAAAAAAGAGGCCGCACTAGAGGGAAATTGGGGGAAATGGTCCTCAATTTATGAAATTTCTGTGTAAAGGGTCCTTAGCATTTAAATCGTGACAAAAACATCGTTGACCTTTAAGTGAAATTGGTATTTTTGAATGATTTTCATCCAATTGGCCATCAATAATGTCAAACTTTTGATAAATAGACTAGAATGTCATTACTTTTAGAATTCGACCACTCGACCGATCCGAATAAATAAGATAAGTGAAAAAATAAAATTTAAAAATATAACAAACTGAAAAACTCATCTTACCAACCAATATCTCATAGGAGCATGTCCAATGCAATCAATGAATTGTCACATAAGCAAAATGGAAAGTTTATAGAAAAATACCTCTAATACAATTTGATATAATTACTTTCAATATTAATTACATCGATATCTAGAGTGTGTTTGGGAGAGATTTTCTCAAACCAAAATCAATTTTTGGGTCACATCAGGCGTTCCCACTTTCTGCCACCATTTGGCGTATTGTAGAGAATTTGAACGGAAAAAGACAATTTCATTCTCGTCACATGTGCAAAGTCTCAAGATTCTCTACTGCAAAGTGGTGAAATTGGAAAATGGGTGTATATGGGCTGATTGTCTACTGCAAAGGTGTCAGGTTTTGGCAATTAAAAAATGCCACAACGGTCCAATTTTTGATTAACAGCGGCCCGAATTAAAATGTTTAGTGCACCCAGATACAGCCCTAGTGAATAGATATACTCATGATTTTCAATACATTCGATCGATTAATATCTAAGTGTGTTTTTCACTTATTTCATTGTTATTTAGTTAAACTAAAATAAGGACATTTTAATTTTTATATCAAAACTTCGATATTTTTATCAATCAATTGAATGAAAACTATCTAAAAAGTATAATCGCGTCATTAAAGAAAATGTCAGGAATGTTTCTGCTTAATTTTGAAAGTTAGGAACTATTTATGCAACAATCCCATAAATTAGGGACCATTTTCCCCACACTAGAAGTAGCCGTTACATAAGGGTCCTTTAGGAAAACGTAGGGACAATTCTGTCATCTGCACATTACAAGGCATAAATTTCTCTTGACACATTTATTCCTATTCCATGATTATAAAAAGGAAATAAATTTTTTTTTCATTTAAATAAAAAGCTCTTGGTCCCAAAAATAAGCGGGTAAATCATAATTTAACAAAAGTCTATGATCCTGTGCCAAACAAGGTCTTAAAAAAGTGAAGAAAGTATGGGCAAGAAAATGGTGAGTTCTGTTCTGTGGATACTCCCTAATTAAAGAGATTAGGACGGGAATGAGAATGTAAAGTATCATTTACACACATTCCGATGCTCTTTATCAGTATGATTCAACTGTTGTACGCATTTCTCGCTCTTTTCGTTTGTTTATCATTTTAGCATTGCCCCCAATGTTTCTCTTTCTGCGCTAAAAAAAAAACTGCTTTTGGGCTGTAAGAAAAAGAGAAGTATTGTGCATGGATTGATTGTATACCCAAATCTTCGGTTGATTTGCCAATCGATTCAGGTTTTGTATTTTATAACGAAAGATTTATTTATGACTTCCTCGGTCTACATATGTTTTTTCTGAATCCGCTCCTTTTTTTTCATGAAAAAACGGAGCAGGGTCCTCTATTCTTTCCTTGATTCGAAATAAAACCCGTTAACGAAAAGGGTTTGTTGTAATTTTCATCTGTTTTTTTTCTTAGTGTTAAATCTCAGTGCAGTGGTAGACTCAGTGGGTTTTCTGTTTTCTTTCAAAACTTCTCTCTCGTGTGAAAAAGGTTTTTGCCCTCTTTTTCTGATTTGCCTTTGCTTTGATTTTGAGAAATTTTATAATTATTATAGAAAAAAGAGAATTGTGATTTTCTTTTTCTGTATTGTGTGCTATTAACTTTTGATTGTAAAATAGAAATGGGGTTAATTTCATGATTGGTTTTTCAGAGGTTTTAGGGGGAAAATATTGTATTTGACGAGGGATTGCGAATGCGGTTGAGTTCATGAACACAAAAGTGGTTAATTTTGTGAAGCGGGTTTTTTAATTTCGAGTGTGTGAAATGGGAGCAACAAATTCAAAATCTGAGACGAGTGGTGCTTTAAGGCTGTGCAAAGAAAGGAAAAGATTTATCAAGCAAGCCATTGATTCTAGATATGGTTTAGCAGCTGCGCATGTTTCATACGTTCAGTCTCTAAGAAATATAGGCATTGCTCTGAGGAGATATGCTGAGGCTGAAGTCTTGATAGAATCCGCTCTATCAACTACAGCCACTGAAAATGATAAAACTCCATCACATTCTTCATACTTGTCGCCCTCCCCACAGCATATTGGTGGCACTTTAGATTCTCCAGTGCTCAATGGGAGCCCGCTATCGCCACCTACAGCTAGACTTAGTTACATGAGGTCAGGTGGAGGTAGTGCTTTGACTGTCAGAGTGAGTCAACCGCCTAGGAATATGTATGTTGAGGAGGGTGAATTTTCAATGCCTCCACCTCCACCTCCGCCTCCTGAACCAGGGTCGTCTTGGGATTTTTTTGACCCTGCTGATGAGCATGAGAGCTTTAGATTTGTGGGGCAGAATGGCTTGAATTTGAACTTTGATGATGTGAGAATAAATGGGAATTTTGGTGAGACGGGTGTTGATGATAACACTAGTGGGATTCAGGAAGTGCCTATGACACTGAAGTCAGAGACTCCAAGAAATGGACACGGAAAATTGGTCATGAACAATTCAGATTCAGCCAAATACGAAAAGAATGAAAGCAGTAGTCAGCAAAGAGTCTATGGTGAAGTGAAAGATGTAAACAATGAGATAAAAGTGAATGGATCGGTGGGAAATGTGGCGGGAAAGGTTCCTTTAGAACAGTATAATTTGAAGATAAATAAATCTGCAGTAGAAAAGGATGTATGTGCTGAAAGGGAAGATCCTTCGGAGTATATAACACACAGGGCTAAAGATTTTCTCTCTAGCATTAAGGATATTGATAACCGGTTCTTTAGAGCATCTGAATCAGGGAAAGAGGTATCGAGGATGCTTGAGTCCAGCAAAATCAGTATCGGATATGAGGCAAAAGGTAATAATTTCTTGATGACATCAAGAAAGCACATAATCCACTTTTGAATTGAGAAACTAGTGATAATTTCTTTAGTTTATTGAAATGTAATTCTATCTTGTGAACTTTGAGTTCTAGTTGTTCTGACTCTGGTGTGCTGGTTTGGAACCCTAATGGCATTGTTTTCAGGTAAATCATCATCTTCTGTTTATTTAGCCTCTTTTCGAGCTGCTTGTTGTCAAGGAAGAGGTGCTAATGTCCCTGATGGTATGTACCAGCTTGTACCCTAGCACCATAGACCGTTATTTACTAATTTCATTGGTTCTAATTAACTTATTCATTTTACAACTTAGCTGTTTTGTCTAAATGAGATGCAGTACTTTTAATTATGTCTTGATCAACATTTAATTATATGCATTTGTTCATCATCCTTCTGTAAAACATTGGGTATTATCAGTTTTTGCAACATCTCTTCTACTTGATTTTCCTTTTAACTGGAAAATTAACATGGATTTAAAGATAGCATACTGACATTGCAAAAGGATTGAGAATTGCTCTGCTAAGTTGAAACTAAACATGATAAACCTTCATTTCTGTCAATTTTCATACTTAGAAAATGTGCAGGATCGGAACATGTGACCAAGGTTATAACCTGGAAACGGACAACATCATCACGGTCATCGTCCTCTAGGAATCCTCTTGCCACAAAGGATGACAATGATGACAGTGGAAGTGATTTTATTGAAGAGTTCTGCATGATTTCTGGAAGTCACTCTTCCACACTGGAGAGACTTTATGCGTGGGAGAGAAAGCTGTATGATGAAGTGAAGGTACTTGATTTAATATTGCCACAGTGAAATTAATGCACGTGGTTTTCTTCATTTTTTGATGTTTCTCTCCATTTCTTAATAAGAATGGGTGATAGTATTCTGCCTAAATAGTAAAAACGGGTAATAAAATAAAACAATATTAAAGATCTGAGACATAGTATTTCTCAATTCTGATGAAAATGACAATGCTGCATATAAGCCACCTCAAAGAAATGGCATGAAAGACGTAACAGTAGTGCATGTCTTAAGTTTGTTATATTATTATTTGTCTGCATCAATTTTCACATTACAGGTTAAAGGAAATTGGGGTTTGTAAAATGAATTACTATTGAAGAGCTCAAATGAAACTTGTAGAATATCACTTTGCCCCTATTTGGTACCGATCTAGATTTTAATCTAAGTCAAAGTCAACAATCAATTTTAGTCACATATTTCATGGCCCCACAACTTTTCAACCACACATTTCATCAACTTTTATAAAAAAACTACTAAAAATCTGATTTTAATTCCTACCAAACAGGCATTTTTTGTTAATTGATAGATCTTTGTTGCCTGGGTCATGATTTGTATTTACTTTGATTGCTGACAAACCTTGATAGAAGGGGGAATTCCATTACCTTGAAACTGACCATTCTGGTTCCCAGAACGAAACCAGGAGTGTATTCATACTAGCTCTTGTTTTTTGTCTGGGGGGTAGGTTTCATTTTGCCTAATTAATATCAAATTTGCTTACTCTGGATAAACTCTCTGAAAATATTTTTGAGATGTTAGAAAACTAGTGGGAAGATTGACATTTCAGACTGTCAAATGTGAAAAGAAACATGAGGATTGTGGCGGTTGTGAGAATTATAGTTGCGGTGTTGCCATTATGCTGGAGTTAAATTAAGCATTTTCAAACTGGTTTGGCCAACCAAATGGGAAATCGTGATGACAAAGCTGGCAAATTCAGAATAAAATGGAATGAATCACTCAAATAATCTTATTATCAAATATGCACCACTTATAAATATTGGAGAATGTGTTGTGTAAACCTAAAGAGACTCCCGTTTACAATAGTAATTCAATCCTAGTATGCGTTAGAAGTAAGAAGAGGGAGTGGTAGACTAAAGGCATCTTTGCTCAGTGTGCTAGCTAAACATTTGACTTCTCGGATCTTTCGGTAGATGGATCGAACGTAGCCAAGGAAAAATGATTCACATAGCCTACAGAAGCTATTAAAAATAAGGCTTATTTTGTTGTTGATTGTTATCAAGGGTTACAACTTGTTGGATACTGCTAAGGAGATTGGGTTCCTTGGTGAGTCAATTTTTTTGGCCATAATAAAGTTACACCTACTGACTAACTTGGCTATTGTTTTCGGTATGAACTTGATTCAAAGAGTTCTGCACCCTTGAGGTGAAAGAATGCATATTGCTCATTGTTAGTAGCCTTAGTGATGTGTTACCCATTTTTGTTCTTACATTATTATGTCAACTAATTTATGTCTGTTTCTTTGGCCTATCTAGGCCAGTGAGTCTATCCAGAAGGAATATGACCGCAAGTGTGACCAGCTACGGCACCAATTTGCGAAGGATCTTAGTCCTCAAACAATTGACAGAACTCGGGCAGTGGTGAAGGACCTGCATTCACGAATTAGAGTGGCACTTCATGCTGTTGATTCAATATCAAAGCGAATAGAGAAAATGAGGGATGAAGAATTGCTCCCGCAAACTATAGAACTTATTCAGGGGTGAGAAAAACTTCTATTCCCTAAAACCCTTGAGACTTCTAGTATTGGTACCTTAATTTCACACCACCTACTTAAGGTGCTTTTTCTCTTCAAGCCAGATCTGTTAAGGTGGATTAGACAATAGCCAAGAAAAAGAAGTTAAAATATTTTCAATACTATTACTTAATTCCTTGTAGTACTATTTACCAAACACGGTCTAGTGTAAATGCTCAATCCTGTGTCCTTGTCCATTGAATTCTGTGCAGATTGGCCCGGATGTGGAAAGCCATGCTCGAATGCCATCATAACCAGTACATAACTATCTCGTTAGCTTATCATGCAAAAACTTCTGCGGGAATTGTTCATGGGGAAACACAGAGGCAGATTATAAATCAGCTTCTGGATGAGGTAGAGTATTTTGGCCTGAGTTTTGCTGATTGGATCAACAGTTATACATCTTATGTGGAAGCGCTCAACAGCTGGCTACAAAACTGCATTTTGCAACCACGCGAGCGACAAAAGGGACGAAGAGCATTCTCCCCTCGTCGAGTTCTGGCCCCACCTATATTTGTCCTCTGTCGGGACTGGTCAGCCGGAATAAAATCTTTGCCATCTGAAGAAGTTAGTGATGCAATCAAAGCTTTTCTATCTGATTTGAGACGTTCAGTTAGACACCAGCCGGATGAATCCCACAAAAAGGAAACGGCAGATGATTTGCAAATCAATGAAGAATCAGAGAGTAAAGATGAGGAGAAAAATGAAGATCGAGCTTCAAATTTAAGCTGCATACAGACAAGTTTGACTAAGGTTCTTGACTGGCTGACAAAATTCTCCGAGGCTTCGGTGAAAATGTGTGACGATATTCGACAGAAATGTGAAACCGCTCGAAATGCATATGATAATTATAGAGCACCTCCAAGATCCTTCAGCATTTGAAATGATCTACAGTTTCATTTTAATATCAAGTTGATTGTTAAAGTAGATATTTGTAAATTCAGAAGTTTGGAGAGCTTTTCTTTTCCTTTTCTGAAACAATCTGGTTGTAATAAAATTTATGGCAAATGGATTTGTGAAGGTGAGCCAGTAAAATACAGATGGGATGACTAGACGTTCTCTTATCTCAAAGGTTCTCTTTGTGAGCTCACAATTTGTCTGTTAAATTCTCTCTTTACTGTTCGTCAGCCCCCTTTCCTTACTGAAGACAAATATAATCTCCACAACAAAATACCATTAACAGAGGGGAAGAAGCACTGTAACACCATAGCGTGCAAAACCCTTTCTTACGTCTCGAGTCCCCCTGTGCATGTTGTACACATAAAAGTGGCTCTCTATCTCGGGTTATTCTGTTTCTTTAAAATTCTCTAATTTTTTATCACGTTTTTTCAGTAAAATATTTTTTTACGCGTAGATCCATAATTTTCCCTATTTTAACTATATATCTTCAAAAAATTCACTTGCGACAAAATTTGTTCTCACAGAATCCACATCAAACATTTTTTGATCTGTAATTGGTTTGCAAAAGAAAACATATGCTTTTAAGATAAAGCCCATTTAGACAAACATTGCAGAATTGCTCTTAAAACTTGAGGAAATTACACCAAACCCTAGATTTAAAGTACCAATTTCATAAATCCTGAATCAAGTTTCATATTACAAAAATCAGGTTTTAATTAATAATTTAAAAACATTTTTTATATCTAATTAAATACTAATTAATAATTTTCATTCCAATTAATAATTTCATCCTAAAATCAAAACCTAATTTCATTTCTTTCCCCGTTGTCGCCGTCTCCTCTCCTCTCATCCCCTCCCATCTCCATCTTCTCTCCTCCCGTCCGTCTTCATCGTCGCTCTTCTCCCTCACCGGTGACGACAGTGCTCGTAACCCATGCCGGCTTCTCTCTTCTCAATTCTGTGATGCTGAAACGCCCAACTGTCTCCACCTCACCGTTACACACACACACACACACACACTCTCTCTCTCTCTCTCTCTCTCTCTCTCTCTCTCTCTCTCACACTTCGCTTTTCGATCCGGCGAAATAGCAGGCGCAGTCACGCCCGTGACGGCGCCCTTATGTCCTCTTGTGGAGGGCGGTTGGGTGTTTGTGAGTGCGTGTGGAGGTAGATCCGGTGCGTGTGTGCGTTGGGTGCGTCGCGACTGGTGTGTGTGGACACGAAGGGTTGCATTGTGCGTGCATGCAGTAGTTGGGTGTGGTTTTGGTTTGTATGAGATATTGACGCTGCTATTGGGCGGCGATGGTGGTGCTGCTACTAGTAGAAGCAGTGGCGATGGTGAATCTGGGTGTGTGGTGAGGTGCGTGATGTGCAGTGGTGGATCTGTGCAGTGTGATGGTGGTGGTCACAAGTGATTTGGTTGATTGTGACCAATAATTGGGTCAGTGTGTGACCAATGAAATAGATAAACTGCGACCAATGCATGCTGTATGACTTAAAAATTATTAATGTTGACGGTTTGGTGTAGTGGTGGTGGTGAAAACGTTGGCTGCGATGTTTGAAACTGTGATTTTATTGCTGGGAAGTGGTGGTGATGGTGATGGGTGTTGGCGGCGGTTGTGCGTTTATGTGGTGTTGGTGTTGGTGGCGGCGGTGGTGCGATTCTGTGGTGTTGTGGTGGTGGTGGTCACAAATAATTTGTTGATTGTAACCAATGAATTGATTGGTGTGTGACCAATGAAAAATAGATTGTGACCAATAAAAGTAATATGTGACCTATAATTTGATGTTTTGTGATTGTAAAATAAGTTGTGTGACTTTTAAATTTTGTGATTTGTGACCAATAAACAAATTGTGACTTTTAAATTTTTAATTTGTGACCAACGAACCGTGACCTATAAAAATTTTGAATTGCGACCAAATTGCATAAATCTGTGACTTTTATATATTTATTAATAAAATATATAATTAATTAATTAAATTATAAATAAATTTTATTGAAAACCTGATTTTTGAAATTGAAAACCTCAAACTTTAATTTGAAATGGTGATACTTAAATACCTTATTTATATATTGTTTCCTTAAAACTTTGTACCCTACTGGGCATTTTGTCTGACAAAGGAAGGCCAGAACAATGATTTCATTGAATTCATATAATATGCTTGTGTACCAGAGGATAAACAATTTTGCCACATGAATCAATTTGCTTATGGAAGAAAATTTCCAAAACAAAACACATCCTTCTTTTTTACATTTTATAATTTTAGAATCCAGCATATTGGGTGTACTGTGAATAAGCATCTTCTGCAGCCTGCATTCCTATTGGAGCCCGTGTCACATGATCTGGGAGTTCAAAACCATCTACAAGTTCCTTTGCAATATTCTTCACTTGGAAGCTCAGGTATTCCGTCAATTTGTGAATTGCCTGCAAACCACAGGAAAAGGAATGCATCTTATATCATAACTGATTCCAATAAACAGAGGAAAAAGTGGGTGTATTCACCAGGTATTTAAACATTGTCAATTGAAGATAAATCTGCGTGAAAACCAGTCGAGATGATTCACTGGTTAGAGAAGTTATTGGGCTAGCATAATGGTGAATTTGGAGGAAAAGGTCAACCTAAAATTACATGGTATGAGGTGCTCGGAATGGATTTGAACCTTTGTGGTTTAATTTTGGAGAATGCTTTAGATAAAAAGAGTTGAATTAGAGAATTCATCTAAATAATCCCAGTTATAGTATAAGATAAAGCTCTGCTGACTTGCTTTGAGTTTCCTTATCTTATAAAACATCCTTTTACAACTTTTTCAACAAGGGAGTTTTGGCCCAACGGAATTTCGACTACCAGTTTATCTTACATATTAGGTAACCAATGCAGATATCAGATTTATTTATCATCATGTGAAGCACTAAATTACCTTAGCTTTGTTAGGGGCAACATAGTCCACATTGCGATAAGTCCCGATGTCATTCCAGATCCGATCCAATGCATATAAATCACAAACAAGTTTCAGAGCTGCTCGAGAACTCGCATCAGGACAACTGAAGCAGAGAGAAGGAGAAAGTTAAAGTTAGCAATAATATAGAGGAAAAGAAATGAACTAAAAATGGAAGTAGGAAGCACCTCCGAACAGCTTCAATAAATTTCGCCAGGATAACAGATTCTATGTGAGACTCTGCAAGTGTCAAAAGATGATTCAAACATCTATTCCAAGCACCAAAGCTCCCAAGAGTTTTAGAATGCTTCCGGAGTCGAACTGCAACACTTTGAAGCAATCGTGATGTACGGTACTGCAACGACAATCATCACAAACAAAATTGTTAAAAACAATAAGCACGTCTCTAGTACTCTAATTTAAACGTCTGACATCATTTAGTAATAAAAATACCCACCCTAAAGGCATCCAATTGAAAGTTTGGATTTCGTAAATGATCTTCACCTTCCCACCTACTGGTTACAGGGTTTGGCTGTGAGAGAGAGGTGTTCATGGATTCCTTGAGGTAGTTCCAAGTGACCGAGAGTGTCCCGCCTTGGAATTTCTCTTTGTACTGCTTCAAGAGGTAAGCTGCTGCCTGCATTGCAAGATGATTTTTAAATTGCATCCAGAACACCAAGGACTCGTTTTACATGCAGTACTGGACAAGTACAGCAAACAAGATTTTAACATATTTTTATTTCTTCGAAGTCCAGAATTCTACAGTTCAAGATAGAAACCTGCTGCAGAAGCACGGTGTTGTCCCCTTCAAATGTCTGAAAGATGTCATGGTCATTCCTCAAGCTGCCAAACCTGTTAACTGCAGCGTAACCATGACCACCACAAGCTTCTCTACAAGTGCTCAAAGACTTTGCAGTATAAGATGTGACATATGCCTTTAGTCCGGCCGAAAGTGTATGGACATCACTTACTAACTCTTCGTCATGAGACTTTTTCATCTCGGAGTACTTCTCGACCAAATACGACGTTGCAAAGTGGAATGCATAAGTAGAAGCCAACATTGGCATTAGCTTATGCTGTTGAGATTGGTAATCGAGAATACTGATCTCGGGTTGCTTTGGAGGACCGAATTGCTGGCGCAGAAGAGAATATCTGACAGCTATTGTGACAGCAATTTTGAGGACACCAACAGAAGAATAAGCAAGACCCACCCGTCCTCCAACGAGTTCCCCAAGTGTGGCGGCAAATCTTTTGTTGATTGAAGGTAAGCTGCTAGTATACTTCCCGTCTCTTGTGACATCTCCAAATCGATTGAGAAGATTATCCCGGGGAATTCTTACTGAACGGAATTTCAATGCCCCATTGTCTACTCCATTAAGCCCAACTTTATGGCCACAGTCATGTATCTCGATACCAGGTAGTGCCTCATGGGTCTTCATATCCCTAATTGGAACTATGAAAGCATGAACACCCATATCAGAAACACTTCTCATATCATGAGTAGGCAACATCAGCTTTGCAAAAACCGTTGCGAATTTTCCATGCACTGCAGCATTTCCAATCCACCACTTAATGGCCCCATCATTTGGCGTGTCGATAATAAATTCATCTCTGAGCGGATCAAAAGTTGCAATGGTCTGAAGGCCTTGAACATTTGAACCTTTTTGAAATATCCAACAAAGATATTAGAAAGTAGGACCATTTCAAAAAAACAAAATATAGTAAAACGAAGTAAATTTGGCAGGAAATGGAACTGAAGCATTGTCATGAGACGATCTCAAACCCGTTACAAATTCCTGTTTACCACTGATTATATCAACTGGTCAAACTAAGGAACAAAATAAACTCTACGAACTACTCCCAGGTCCTTTTAGGAGCGTTCAAATTGCCAGAGACAAACTATAGATACATTATGACATTTAACTACTTGCTAGCTAATAGCCAATAGCCAATAGCCAGTAGCCAGTAGGACGAACGTACTGACTTCTATTTAACATGCATAGCACGTTTGGCTACAGTTCATCGAAGAAATGTTATATGAGAG